ACACACACACACACACACACACACACACAGACAACCCCGTGACAATATGCGTTTCGTACTACTGTTACACAGCACAAAACGCATAACAAACAGGAATAAAGACCTACTTATTTTATCAAAGGCCGGAAAAATCACGTCCATAAACCAATCCGTAATCAGTTTATCCAAGTTTCTTAGAATTGCGTTGGAACTTCCCTCCTGATCTAGAAACTTAGCGATAGAGTGACATTTCTTTCTTTTTTACGATTTCACTCCTTGACGTATGCTTCTTTTGCAGGCTGATGCTCCAATAAATATCCGATCTTTGTTATACGTACCGTCGCATAATGTATCACAGTTTGAGTTTGCTAGTACAGCTGACCAGTCCGGCGTCTCGCTGTATGCAAGACGAGTCCTCATTAAGGTTAGCCGTTTCACATTTGCAGTTTTTCCCTATAAAAGCACGTTTTACTGAATTGCATATAATGTTGGTAGGGGTGTTGATAACATAAAAGAAAAATACCCGCCGTATATTGCTTTGTGGTTGGCTGAAATGCTCAGAAAAAGCTAGGTATAACTTTCTACCGACATCAAAGCTACCCGCTACCTAAATTGCTGATAAGGGAGGGCAATGTTTTTTGTTTCATGCGTTTGGTTTGATTTTTTGACGTACTAGATATGCCTGTATTGATATATCTTTAAAATCAGTCCAAAGGCATGGGTGTTCTAATGGATCGATTTGATCCGATAACGTGAGCTTAGAGGTGAAATAATATTGAGCCATCAGCTTTGAGAAAAATTGTTGAAGGATTTTGTTTATGACCGTTGTAATTCGTCACGGAATATGAGCAGATTTATAGGCGAACGCTAAGGAGCTCTTGCCACGGTATTTACGCTTCTTGGTCGGTGTAGTTGATTCAGAGGACATCCCACTCAATCTGAGCCGAGAGATGCTTCAAATGGACGCTGTGCTGATGTAAGTATCTAATTTGATTGGAAGAAGTTATTGGTTTTAATAGGTGTGCTGTGATAGTTGGGATAGGAATAGCTCGTACAAGTAAATTTTAGCCAAAAAACCGTTCTGGAAAGGGCTAAACTGCGCATTAAAAATAAAAAAATTTGAAAATCACCTGTTTTGGCATTATTTGCGCCGTGAAGTTTGGCGTTTTTAAGCGAGGGAAGCTGCCCCCTTTTCTCCCCACACTTCCCATTAAAAGGGGCTTGATTGATTTTTCAAAACTGTGCAGCCAGTTTGCACATTTATGCATCTTTTCCAGCATGCTTGAACAAACAATTATGTCTTCCAAATCATAATAATGATTAATGAGTCGCCGTTGTTTTTATCATGATTTTTTTCCACTACATGGATCCTATTTTCATGCTTTTTACTTGAGATAAAAACTATTTTCATGCTTCGGTGCACTACATGTGCCTCCGTTTTGCACAGAGAATGAAATTTCGATGGAGTTTTGACTCTCGATTTTGTCTTTACAGTTATGAGATGAGAAGTCTTATAGATCTATCCAGTTTAGCTTCAAGTACATTCACGAAAAAGAATAAGTCTGGCCCGCTTCGAAAAACAGTTCACGTATGCTGTTACTAAGTTACACAGGGAGTAATTACTTTTACGGATATTTAAGCGAATTGCTTATTTTCTTCATGTTTAAAAAACTGCATCTTGTCTTTTCATAAAAGTATGCAAATCTTTCTGGTACTGATCATTTATTTAAGGAAATTACGCCGAATTCTGACCGACAAAGTTGTCTCATATTTTGTGGGTGAAATGAAAAAAGATCGAATCAAGTACAAAGAATTTTACAACGGCTATTCACTTTATTTCAAGGAAGGAATTTGTGCTGAAACAGATCAGAATATCAAGGTAATCTTTGTTTATCGCTCTACCAATGAAAAACATTTCCCGAATGTGGGAAACTTCCCTTTGCTACGATTATTTTATGTGGTTTTTCGAAATTTCTGTGAAAAGTCTGCTACGAGGATTTTTTTTTCTTTCATTCTCGGAGAAATACTGTGTGGTTTTCAGTACTCCAAGATTTTGCATTTATACGTATGCGGTTAGAAAGATTCACATTTTTGGCTCTTCTTTGTGTTTTATTTTCGATTCTATTCCTTTTTTTCATAAATTTGTTTGGGCTTACTTGTTTTCATACGATGTGATTTTATCGTGCTTTGGTCAGTTTTACGCCCGTTTCTTTTTATTTTGATCAAACTTCTACTTTTTTCCACTGCATTTCTTTGTCAGTTTCCGAAGCCTCCTAGCCTAATTTTTCAGGAGCAAATTGGCTCTCTGTTGCTCTTCGAATCTTCAGATCTAAAAGCAGGAACGTTCACAAGTTTGAGTGAATATGTGGATCGTATGCAGAAGGATCAAAATGAGATTTATTACTTGTTTGCACCGAGGTTAGCACTTCCATTACCCTGGTATTTCTTCATCTTTGGGTTTATTTTTCTTTCAGAAGTAAGTTTAGTTTGTTATTTCTAGACATGAAAGGGCTCATTTTGATTAGCTTCTTATAAGTCGGCTGGAAATGGTGAAATTGGAACATCCGATTTAAATTAGTTTGTGCTTGAGTAAGCTTCTTTTTTTTAAATCTTTGCTGGAGATGTAGCGAGCTGCTTAAATTATGCGGGACTTAATCCGGCAGTTTTTTAGTCTTCAAAATGGCAAATATTAAAATTTTCAAAAAATTTCTACTAGCAAAATTACTCATTCCCAGTTACATCAATACTGAACGTTAACAGCATAGATAGCATTAGCAATAGCAACAAAATTAAAGCAACTTCAGCTCTGGCGGCATAATACGGCACTTTAGACGCCAATTATAATTATTATCAAGCAGTGCGTACACATTTAACATACGGCAATTCTTGCCAATCTAAGCGGTAATTGTCACTGAAAGAGCATTTACGCCCAGGTACATTTTCACGGGAACGACCAGACCATAGGTGGGTCCAGGGCGGTCTCCTGGAGGGGGGGGG